TTCCTAATTATTCTAAGAGCATGAGACAAACCTTTTTCCCTACCATGTTCACACATTTTTGACTAATATTCCATTCCTATTATAATGGCTATTATTAAACTTACGTTTCATAACGACGAAAAGAGAGTATAGTCACATCAACTTACCATACTGATGTGGCTATCATCATCATCATCATCATCAACAGCCTATCATAGTCCACTGCTGGACATAGGCCTCTCCAAATGCACGCCACTCAGATCGATCTTGGGCTACTCGCATCCAGCTCCTGCCAGCCACCTTGCGCAAATCGTCACTCCATCGTGCCTGAGGACGTCCTACACTACGTTTGCCTAGACGCGGTCTCCACTCCAGAACTCGTCTACCCCAACGGTTATCGGTTCTTCGGCAAATATGGCCAGCCCACTGCCACTTCAACTTGCTAATCCGGTGGGCTATGTCGATAACTCTGGTTCTCTGTCAGATTACCTCATTTCTGATGCGATCTTTCAGAGAAACGTACCTAACTGCATCGCTGCCCGAGGTATACATATTTTTGAATAACTTCGAGAACGGCACCGTGTATTGCAATTGGTTCCGGTAGAACATGTTCATGATGTGGCTATGGGTAATTTTAATTACCATCACCATAATCATCAGCCTATAGATGTCCCAACTACATGGTGTACAGGCCTTCCCTACGTATGGAATAAAGAGATTGGGTCATGTCATGCCACACCATGAGAGCTCGATGGTGCAAGTGGTTAACTCGTTCGGCTGCGATCGTTGAAGTTAAGCAACTTTCGCAGTGGTCAGTCATTGGATGGGTGACCAAAAATTTACTATCTCGAGCTCCTCCGTGCTTCGGAAGGCACGTTTAGCCGTTAGTCCCGGCTGCATCTGCAGTCGTTAACACCCACCAATCAGCACTGGGCCCGCGTAGTGAGTCATGTCATGGCCCAATCTCCCTATTCCATCCATGGGGAAGGCCTGTGCCCCAGCAGTGGGGACATTAATAGACTGATGATGATGATGACACCATGCAAACAAGCCGGGGCTAACGGACGAGCTCGGTATAATACGTTTTTGGTCACCCATTCAATGACCGATCCACTTTCATCACATCGATATTATAAGTTGGTGCGACTTTGGGCCTCGCCTTTTACCATGACACCAAAGCTTAAACCCTCAGTTCTGCAGTTTTTTTAAAAGCATAATCCCTTATCTCCGATGAATTTGCAAGTACCTACTATTAGTCTTATAATAAATTACAACTCTGCAGAGGTTTCACTATTTTATTGAATCACCAACTAGGACGACGATCGCAGCAAAATTTACTCAAACTAAGGTGGAGCGCTCTTTTATAACTCTCCACCTCCACACATTTGTCACTTTTCATAGATTAACGTCTTTATGTAGCTTGTCTATGAACGGTATCATAGCCAATACTTCATAAAGACGGGCACACACCATCCCATAAGATTCGTAAAGCCAATGTCACCATACAGCCAACACGGCATAGACCCTACGTTTATGCAACCACCTTGAATATGAATGATCAATCGACATTACATCGATTAATCATTCAGATATCAAACTCCGCTACACCGGAAGTGTTTCCGCGTACTAACAAGTCATATTTAAATTATAGAAAATAGCAACATTGGCATAACGTCACATACGGAATGTCATGTCATCAAAACATACAAGCGTTAGAAAAATAACATGTTTTGCTTAACTAAAGTAGAGTTTAATAATTATAACTAACACTACTTTTCTGTAAGTCCCATCAAGGAAGGCGGCATCTCAGAGGCAATCAATCTGGAATTAACCAAGCGAATCCCGATTCCCAAGGCGTTCCTTAAACTGTACAACAACTAATCGTGGATTGATGAGCACGTGTCAACAACCTAACATGGCTATGTTTACTGTGCAACAACACGCTCCTTTGACTCAAGAGATTACAATTTGATAATATATTGTTGTAAACTTCCATGGTCACTAACATTATAGTTATTAGCGAGATTGCTACCAAGTATCTTGTTTTTGTGAATCGCCGATATTTTGTCTGTTTACAATTTGATTTTATAAGTTTACCGTTTATAATGGTCCGAAATAAGTGTTTATTATTATTATCATTTATACGTATAACAGGGACATCTCATCTAATTTTCTTAACATCATCATCATCACTATTAATGTCCCCACTGCTGGGCACAGGCCTTCCCTATGGATGGAATAGGGAAATTAGGCCATGAACCACCACGCTGGCCCAGTGCTTGATATTATTTGTTTTGTTCCCAAAAAAGATTGGTTTATAATAATATTTGTTCAACAATTTGATTGTTTACAAAATTAGCGAATATAATGGTCTGAAATAAATGTTTATTATTATTATGATAATATATGTATAACAGGGATATCTCATTTCCTTTTCTAAGTATACGAGTATGTCTCATATATACATATCTCATGTTGGTGACTTGAAGCCATATCCTAATATAAAATCTCGCCATCCAGCTTGCTATGTTTATATGGCTATGTTGTATATCTATGTCAAAAATAGTAATAGTATTAATCGTTGTGCACAGGCATGGATCGGCAGTAGAAATACTATAAAATTTGCAATTCATTTAATTATTAGTTTTTTATATTAGTTTTCTTTCTTTTGTTTTATGTTTAGGTCTTCCAGTCTGTAGTCTGTCCTACCACAGATAAATCATTCTTTTTTTATTTTTTCTTTTAAATTTTTTGTACTTTTTCTGTAAAGCTAAGGATTGTAAAAACATTCATCCTAATTTGTTATTATCTTTATTTTTTTCTTTTTTTTTAAAGTGTACATTGGTATGGTTGTATTATAATGTCTCATCTGTGTCATCAACCTTAGGCCCTGCCAGAATCACCAGCGCTGCAGCAGCCCTGGTGTTGCTGCAGTATCAAGCTGAGGTAGGGACTTAGTTGACCAAAAAATATATATATTTTTTATTGTTCTTATTTTAGGTTAAAAATACTGTTAATATATATCATATATTTATATAAAAATACTGTAAATAGTTTAGTTATGGTCAATAAAATTTCTTTCTATCTTTCTTTCTTTCTTTCTTATATCAACTCGGTCAAGTTCATGTCATTTGCACACGAGGAGTCCCTTAACATTATACAGGATTTAATACTAGGTCGAACAAAAAACGTTAATAAAATCACATTTATTGTGCGGAAGCCCCATATAATGATAATTTTAAAACATATATTACCTATTTCTTATTCTACCGTTTACGATTAACTTTTTGTCTTCATTGGGTCTATGATGTCTGGTAGTAATAGTAGCGATTAGTATCCTAGCGCGTACAAAAGTTTATAAAAGTACATTTAGCTTTGAATATATCAAAAATAAAAAGAACATAAATAAGCGAATTCCATTTTCCCCCGTCACCTTAAGCCCAGCATATGAATTTCATGAGTGGTTTCATATACCACACACACCTACGACTCACGCAAAAATCCTCACACAACACAATCCCGCTGTCATAACACTAAGAATGCTCAATTTACAAACTCTCCCTGCTGTGAAATTTCCTACGAAATAACATAGCGATCGCCCCCCAAACACTCACTAAATCTGTGCTTAACGAACCGTGACCAACGGCAGCTTTGAAGTAAATCCACACTCCACACAAACACGAGCAACCTAACAATACATTAAGACCCCTTTGAGTTGCCTGAGAACATCACTAAATGGTTTCCTTAATGTTATTCTTCATTCGGCGACTTTGCCAAGAGCAGCTCAGTGGTGTGCCAAATAGTTGAGAACTGTTATTACTTTAAGAATGTTGTCTAAATATTCTTCAGTTTCAAATTACCATTGTCGGTGGTCGTTTTGTGTACCCTAAAGGACGTGTTTGGATTTTGCAGCACGTTTGTTATGAGTAGTAATGAAATCAGAAATAATCTTGTATTTGTAAATCTGAAAATTATGTATCGTAAAGTTTGAATTAAATCTGACGTAAAGTTAAAACGAAGACTTAGTAAAAATCTGAATTATCAGTACAGCCCTTGCCTTTGATAGCATCTTGCCATATTCTTGAACGGTCGCTGAGATTTCATCGTTTGTTTTTAATAGTTTTGATGATTGTATGACTACTTTACAGAAATAATTCAACCGCTCAAATTAGATCGCAACTTAATTTACTTACACAAAACTCTTTTTTCCATACTTTCAAGATAACAGTAGTAGTAGATATAAATTTTGCAGTTAAAAGTATTACCAAAAACACAATAGCACACATTGTGCACACGTGCAAGAGCGAATGCAACAAGCGCTATTTTTCTACGAGAATATTTTCTCCGGTTCAGAGGAATGGATTTTTCTTTGTGAATTCGCCTCCGCTTTAAGTTATTGCACATGCCGAGGACAATATGTTTAGTGTAAGCACTGGACCTTGAAAATTGAATCTCCTTTTCCTGAGCTTGTGAAAATTGTTCAATGGCTGTGTAGTGACGCTGCTGACTTCCATGTTGATTCATTTATTAAACAGTATCATGCTTATTATAGGTTTTAGTTTATAAAGAATATAGGAACTTTTTTGATAAGTTTTAAGTACTCTAAGAACAGGCCAAGTACAAAAAGTTCTTGCACGCTAAGGATTCCATTAAATCATAATATATTGAATAAACTGCGGCTGTTAAATTCAAGTAAAACGTCAAAAATATATTTGTATAAAGCTTTACTTGATCTTTGGTTTCTGACTGTTAAGCTAGTATAGCCACCCATACTGCGGAATGTATATGAGCGGTACACTTTTGAGCCAGTACGTCAGTAGCCAGAGCTTCATGGGCTAAGGGATGGCATCAGTCAGGTTATATAGCGTCTTTAACATATCATATTGACGCCACTTAACATTTGGTAAACAATACACTTGTTTACCAGATCTTTAAAAACCAAGTGTTTCCTTCTTCATCGATGATATTTTTACTTTATTTGTCGTTAAACTCAGCATTATAGAACGCTTGTCTCTTGTTTTAGGTCAAAGTGATGCTGAAGGTTGGCGCGTCTGGCGAAGGCCCCTTCACAAGCGGAACCCAAACGTTCTCCCTGGACAAGCGCAAGAAGCAAGTGAGCCTCTGCGAAAATGTTCCCGCTGCCGCGACTGCCCCAGAAGACAGAAGGGTGGGAGTGGCGGCGCCGAAGATGTTTGCCTTCGACGCAATCTTCTCACAGGATGATCCTCAGGTAAATACCTAAATGCTTTATTAAGGTTAGTGCGCCGAGCGTTGGCCTCTACACGAGTGAAACCTAGGCGCTCTCCCTGGACAAGCGGAAGACAAAAGGGCGAGGTTGGTGGCGCTGAAGAAGTTTGCCTTCGACGCCATCGTTTCGCTGGAGGCAGGAGGTATTTACCTGAGGATTGTCCTGCGAGAAGACGAACTTTATTTATACATAGCGAAGCAAAATACCTTTATCCCACTTGACTCCGCTGCATTATGAGCATTGGAATAAGCCAATTTTAGATAGCATTATCTCTCATCAAAGTTTTCTATGTTTCAAATTGTATCACTGCTTCAAAGAAGGTAGAAACTGAATGAGATTTTTGTTGACTATGCTACAGATCCAGCGCAGAAATCGTGCAAATAATTTAAGATTTTGTAATTTTGTGCATTATGGATATGTGACGTGAATGTATAACTTCATAAACTTTCATGTGATAAAGCCTTGCATTGATCTCGTGTTTACAGTCCTTATATTAGGACTAATGGCATTGTGCATCGCCATGGCATCCCTTTAGTGCATCCAGGATCCCGTTAATACAGCATAATCCTCTTTATCTAGTGGTCTGCTAGCCATACATCACCGAACTTGGATTAATTTGATCGTAACGTATCTAATCGAAGTTAGTTACCGCGATTCTCGATTTGGCATTTAGTTTACAACAAGTTAATACCTTGGACATTCAAAAATTTATAGCAGACTGATGTAGAAGTCTTGCTACATGTAAACTAACCTGCTCCAATCAGAATGAACGACTTTTTATGTCAGACATTCCAGAAGTTTAAATTGGCGAATGCTAAGGCAACACAACAATAATAGCCATTTAAAATTCCAAGCTGTAAGTGTAATCTGGGCATGTCCCTTGTTGTGAAACAAACGTATTAAAGTGTTTCATACGCCTGTTTACCATGTTTAGTCAATAACCGTTTAGCTGGACCTTAACATCATGCGAGGCTCCCTTTAAACCTTTTTTTATTGCTAGTGCTCTATCTGTAACTAACAATACACTTCATTTTACACGAAGCTTTGAATGAGGAATCAAATCATTTGCGACTTTATTTCGGAATAAATATTTATTGTTACTAGCTGCTGACCACTCGTAAAACCGAACTGTCACTTTTTTTATTCAAAAATATTTTTTGTGACAAATCGGACACAATCAAATTATTAAAAGTCACATAAAAAGTTTTGAGATAGTATATGTATGTGAATTTTAGCGCATCTTTTCCTGTGAACCCTTGGCTGTTCCATTGAATAAACACTGTGACAAATAAAATCCTGGTGGTAATAATGATAGTGAAGATCTAAGAACATGCTATTATTAAAATCTATGTAGTGTTTTTCTCTTATGCCTGTTGAAGTTATCTAGCCAAAAACCTTTCAACTTATATAATTTTGAGCGGAATAATTTCTGCTATTGTAGATTTTACGCTACCTAACATTTTTACATCAGTAACAAAATACCGAGTCAAATACTCAATTTTAGGAACGGAAGTCCATTTCACTATGTAGGCTAGTAGTTAAAATCCCGTAAACTTGTAGAGATAAAGCATCGTATCCATCAAATCGTACCAAATGAAAGGGTTTAGAGACACAATGCGCCTCGGACATGGGTAGACAGGGAGGGGTTTAGCGATGGTCGGTCCGGTGGACCAGAAACATCACGATTATTATATCAAAACAGAGCCTTTAGACGTCCTTAGTAAACCGAGTGAAAACGTCGAGAATTGCAGTCTCCTAAAGATTTACTATTCAAAAAGATAGGAAAGTAAATATTGGCAGAAGCAAATGCTTGTTATAATTTTGAGATCCTGATTTCATTCTTGTTTCTAGTTTTATGTGCAAATAAATAAAATATTTTCAACACTTCCACCAATTAAGCCAAGCCACAAAGTAAGCACTATCTGGGCTTGTGTTATGGGATACTAGGGTAACGGATAGAATACATTTACTGATACATATACAGGGTGTCAAAAATCCTTTAACGAAGTCGAAGGCCACGTATTTTCCACATCATGACGATTATTTTTAAATACAAATATTTCCCACGTATAATATTTTGTAATATTACTTGTTTGGGTGTACAGAATGCGTAGTTTTAGTCTTTGTCATAAGTTTTATTACACCCTGTATAAGTATATTTTTTTATAGAAAACATATTAAACATCCATGACTAGAGTACAAATGTTTATATTTATCACACAAACAACTGCCTGGCTTCTCGAACACTGTTTTTTTTGTTTCTCTAATTAAACTGTCGGATATCGTATTATACGAACAAAATAAAGAGTTGACTTGTGTTAATTGGTGTAATGTGATGGATGACATATCTCTATTCGATTGAGTTTTAATTTATTGAACAGTTAAGTTTTATCAGACTTTTGAAAAATCGGCCCTTAATTGCGTTCACAGAAACAATGTGGCAGGCAAAGGCTTATTACTATATTATCATTGTTTCACTGCGTTGACTGGAACGTCTGGCTATAGGTACTCCTAACGGTTGGACTGGCTGCGCTAATCCCACTAAGCTGCCAGTCCACTGGCAGTTAGCCGCCAGGGAGTTATTGCATAGATCACCGCTCTATGTTGCCATAGACGGCTGTCTATGCTGGACCTATTATCGATGATAATTCACAGGCTTACAAAGGCAAATCAGATAGAAGTAACATCATCAACATAACATAAATAAATCAAAATACACCAATTACACACAAAATCCTCCTCAAACTATAGTAACAGTGCGCCAGTCTGTATTAAATAGTTTCAAAAACTATCCATTGCTTTACGAAGGGGCGCATTACCGTATTCTATGTTTTTTCTTTCACTGCTAGGTCAGCATTACAGCGAAAATTCTGATTAAACTTTGTTAAAGTCATCCATTTCACTCAGCATTTTTAGTTGAATTTTTACATCAAGCGGTTTTTTCGTTTGAACACGTTTCATTCGTACTAATTGCAAAGGATTTTAGAAAATATATATATCTGCTCGGTTGTATTACAGAAAATGGATGGAACGGGCACCTGCGCGTGCTTTTGAAAAGTCCCGATCTGATATATGTAGAGTAGAGGCCCCAGGCTGTGCCCCTGTGGTATGAATTTGTTACTAAATGTTGAAGTAAAAAAAATCCTTGTAACTGTCGAGTCAAATGTAAAATACTATATTTAAGTATTTAGTGGAATGACAATACAATCTGTTGACCTTTAAATGCATGAGATATACAAAATATTAATACCATATACTTTTTTTACAATCCAATTACTTACCATGTATGAAAACCACCGAGGACTTGTCACGGACTCAAAGCACACAATGTGCGAAAATTTGTCCACAGAATTTTTTGCGCTCTCTATGGAAATAAAGATGCTCAGATAACGTCGTGTCGTACCTACTTTGCATATCTTTTTTTTAAATAAATGCTTTAAAATGAGATTACTGGGTCCATTTTGATTAAAAATCAAATCAAACGAGCGACGCGTACTAATGTTCGCTGTGTGCGTTGCTACGCTTATACCAGTCGCATGAGTCCTATTTTTCAGGGATACTCCTGTTCTGAATGATCCTCGAACTAGTGACGTGTCTTATGTCGATATTTTTATTAATCATTAAAAATAACTGTTTTTATAAAAAAAGTTAAAACTTCATGCAAATATTTTAAGAAAATTAGAGCAGACTCCTTATATGATGTACTTCAACGCCCTTCAAGCTTTATTTGTATTTTTGTAACACCCTGTATAGTAGCTGGCAAAAAAATGGAAAAATATATAGTATGTGGTTTATATATTTACTTTATATTTGAAATAAATATATTTTTGCTGCTCTTTGCCTTACTAATAATAATTTCTAATATTTTTTAAGAAAGCTTTTACTGTCAAAAGTATGCTTTAAGCAAAATATTGTAGTTTCGCCTACTTTATATTTTTTTTAGAAACATAGTATTTTATCCCCTTTATTTTTGGCAACATCTAGTTACATTACTGTCCAACGAATTACTAATGATGTGAAAAAAAACTGTCCAAACTTATTCTTCGTTTGTTAATATGCTATGTAAAAAAAGTTTCAAATTTAAATTGGTTGGATGAAAAGATCTGCAATTTTTCTTTGTTGGAAGACTTCATTAACGCCAAGATGAGTCAAACAATTATGGACAATCAGTAATAATGAAAGTGATAAGTGATGGAATTGGTTAATTAAGTGGGAGCCCCGCCGCCCTCCCTTTCACTCGCACTGTCTAAGTATTTTCAATTAGCGGACCGAGAGGTCATTAAAATTTTCATTCAAAACAATTTCAGTATTTCCGTGCCAAGTAAACGAATCCCCAGCTTTTGAGGTGACCACGATTTTGAATTTCAGTGCACCAAATTATTTTATCTAAATGGAAATTTCATTGATGAATATTAAAAACATAATTAAATAACTATAAATTTAGAATCTTTTATGTCAATATACTTCCGTTTTTTAATTTTAATATTTAGTACGGCTTATCGACTTTATTAATTTAAAAAAATAAAAAGATTGACTTCAGGCTATTTTAAAAAAAAGAGCATTATTTATATTTCGTTATATTTACTGTTGCTTTTTGCCTTCAACGTCTTTCACAAAACATTTTAAATCATAATTTCATCATCATTAATATTCATACTACAACAGTCTGTTGCCGCTCTTTTCTTATTAACTAGTGATCTAATTTCAAACCGCCTTTAAATTAATAATCTTCATTTTCTTCCTTTCACATTACTTCAATTAATGTGCATTTTAGCATATCTCCTGTAATCTATGTACATCCATCCGCCTTACCGGCCAACTTTCTGTTCCATAAAGCTTACCTATGCAAAAGATCTGATTTTTCTTATTATTTATAATATAAAAACGTATAAATAAGATACAACTTTGAAGTTTAGTATATCTCGTTGATTTTGTTGTTCTCTTATGTCTTAAATAGATATTTTTTAATTTCTCCGAGCGTG